GGCGCCCGCTGAGCTGTTGGGGCAGCACGAGGAGTCCGTGCCCAGGGACGCAGGCCAGGACACGTGGGTCTTCGAGGCGGACGAGTAAGAGCCCAAGCCACCCTCAAGGACTACTTGACATCCTGGGCCACGAAGCCCGGCACAGCCAGGAGGAAAGGGTGACCTGCCTCCCCGCCCACGGGAAGCTAAGGCTGCAGACCCTGGACCGAGGTCACTGAAGGTTTCCCTGTTTCCAGGCCTTCTTCAGGGTGTGGTGCCTTACTGGGGAGCACACATCTGAGTGATCCTAATGGTGCCTCACTTCTTAGCAGCCTGCTGCTTTCTGCATTTTTCAGCCCCAGAGTCTTGCATGTATATTGCAATGGACCAGGTAGTTTGTTGGTTCTTAAACTACCTGAACTATAAATATTCCCTGAAGACAACTCTTTGTAAACCATTAGCTACTGGCTACTGCAGTGGCTTGTAATTTTTCTACTTGTCCAAACCTTAATCCAGTGATTGCATTAAGGTACAGCTCTGTATCTAGTATGTTTATTTGAAATACTATCAGGAGATTTGAGACACTGAATAGTTTGGCATTGGAAAATGCCTGGCCCTCTGAGTCTTTTAGTGAAATAGGCATGGGATTCTTGCCCTGCCTATGTGTAAAGTGCAGGTGGGGCACATTTTGTTTTGAAGAACTAAAAGCAGGCTTGGAACCTGTTTTTTAAATTTGAGATAGCTCACTGTATTTTTCCCCCAATTGTCTTACATCTTATCTGACATCTAACCTCAGCCAGATCTTACCATTTATTTTTGTCTCTGCCTGGTGTCAGTCTGGCTTGCCATTGTTTTTAAGGTTACATGGGTCCCTTTTCTGCTTTCTAAGTTTTTTGTGGTTGGTGGATACTGCTGCTGCTGATGGGGGGTAGGGCCCAAGGTCTTTGACACTGAGCTACACTTCTAACCCTTCTAAGCATTTTCCTTAACAAAACTCAGGCTTCTTTGTACATAAATGAAAAACCTTCTCCTAAGTGTGCCTGTTCTACAACATACAGGACTTCAACGGGACAGAAGAGCAGCTCCAACAAAATGGGAAGGAAAAACGATGAGAACTGTGGCACCAACCTACATGTGTCAAGCATCTCTCAGGAGGTACAGTGGTGCTCCTGAATTTGAAACTTTAGGTGGCAGGGCCAGAGCTCCAGGGTCCTACTGTGGGGATAACTCTCTGCTTTTGCTCTGGGAGCAGTTTCTGCCGCGCTTTCCCCTTAGTGGTTGAGTATCCACTGGGCTCCTTTCAAAATGTCAATAGCTGGTTCTCACCTTCGTCTTTTTGAAGGGAAGCTGTTCTTCTTCTTCTTCTTCTTCTTCTTCTTCTTCTTCTTCTTCTGTTTTTGCTTTTGGTTTTTTGTTGTTGTTGTTTTTGTTTTTTTGTTTTTCAAGACAGGGTTTCTCTTTGGAGCCTATCCTGGCACTCACTCTGTAGACCAGGCTGGCCTTGAACTCACAGAGATCCTCCTGCCTCTGCCTCCCAAGTGCTGGGGTTAAAGGTGTGTGCCACCAACTCCTGGCTGAGAAGCTGTATTCTTATGGATATGTGTATGCCTGAGCACAGGCATACAGTGCCTATTGAGGTCAGAAAAGGGTGTCAGATCCTCAGGACTGGGGTGACAGACAGTTGAGAGCTAGCAGTCCTCAGGATGTGCTCTTAACCCTGAATCACCTCACCGTCCCTCACCCTCAACTTCTTCAATTAGAAGCTATAACGTTTTTTGCCCAGCATTAAGGCCAAATACAAACCTTAGGGATGATACTCAAGTGCTCCAAAACCAAGTTATACTCTCCACCCTCAATTACTTGGTTCTCATGGAGGCTGACCTTATTTATACTACTCTAGATTGCAGAAAATTCTTAGAGATGGATAGTCTGCAGCCACCTTTACACACCCAAGTACTCACCCTACCAGGAGAAAGCTCTCTGTGGGTAAATTAAATCTTCACCCTGCACTGAGGTGTATTTCATCTTCCACTGTACAGAGATGCTGCCTAGTAACACCTAACATTTCATTTGCTTAGAGATTCACCAGCAAAAGTTTTTTTCTCAGATAAAGCACCCTGTCACTCTTTTCTGGAAGGAAGTAGTGGAATCACCTTCTATATTCACCCTAGTTTTCTCCCAGAACATCTGCCCAATAGTAGATATTGGCACTTTTCGGTTATTTTTGTCTTTCTTTGGAATATTTTCTATGTGTTTCCTAACACTTGAAATCAAGAATAAGCAGTGACATGCTTAGCATTGAATATAACCCAAGGATTGGAGCTTTCCTGTCTGTGGTTGATGGAAGATTCTACAGGCTGTCAGGTCCGGCACTCAGTGCACAAGGCTGATGGATGAGCCGTCCCATGCCAGTGAAACACTGAACAGGATGTTTCATTATATTTTAAAAGCCAGTATTGAAAACCCTATGCCACTCTTTTTTTTTTTAACAAAACCATATATTGTAAACTCCTCTCCATTTCCCGCCAAACAAGCTGGTAATGGTTTGGTAAGAGGAGGCCACAGGCTCCTCAGAGATGTGCTGACTGCCTCTGCAGAGGTGGCGAGAGAGGGTGCTCTCTGTCAGCCTTTACCCAGAGAATATGTAAAATGGTATACTTGGACTTTTAAACACCACTGCAAACTTTATCCTTTAAAATGAATATTGTTTTTAGAATTTCTCTTCGTGGAACTTGGATTCCGAAGAACCCCTTGCTGAAAATGAAAGCCTTTTGCCTGGAAAGGATGGTGTGGCAGGTAGTGAGAAGCCCTGGATGTGTATATTATACCACAAGAATCGCACAGCTTAAAGGATTTCAATTCTTAACTTATTTATATAACTATTAATTGACATTTTTCATATACATTCTTTCAGGCAAAACTAACAAGGTAAGGATGTTGGCTTAAAGTAACTCATAAAACATACTACTTGAAAATTATTTGCATGTTCTTTCAATTTTTTTTCTTTCTCAAGGTTAAACTTGAAATTTTATTTCCAGAGAGTTCTTTAAACAAGTCAAGACCTTTGCCATTTTACAGGGCTATAAATTGGTCATTAATTGCTGTTTTTGGATGGGTTTGGTAATGCAGGCCTGTAAAGCTAGGTACTTGGGAGGATGTGGCTCAGAGGGATGCCTATGGTACAGTTAGTTCAGGATTTGCTTGGGCAACTTAGTGAAATGAAAATGTGGCTGAAGATAGAGCGTCGTGGGAGAGTGCTTGCTTAGCATGTATTTCAAGGCCCTTTTCAACCCCCGGTACCACAAAAGCAAGAAAAATAAGATTTTTACATTAACTTCTCTCAGTATAACAATGTTGTAAATTGAACTTGGCAGTAATAAACAGTTTTCTGGTTGTTATCAAAAGGAAAGTAATATGTGGCTCTAAAATGTCTTGAAGACAAAATAATCTTTCTGTATACCCTTTATATTAATATGTGAAATGTTTAACTGTAAAGGTAATATCAGTGGTATCTAAGTCTCATTAACAGTGCCGAAAACAACGGAAAGTTGGGAGTACATTGGACTTTACTTAGAACATGAATAGCAAACAGGGCTGTGTTGTATTCAAATCACCTGCTGCCTTGTAGAACCATCAGGAAGTTACAGCAGAACTGCTGGTGTTGCAGCTGATCATATCAGAGCATGCTCACAGTAGAACGCAGGTGCAACTTCTGCCTCATTCTCTCTCTCTCTCTTCATCTACTGCTGTTGAAATTCTTGAAGCTTTTAAACACCATGTGCACTTTTTGTATTAGCAGAACAGTAACCAAGGGGTATTTCAGCTATGGAGTTCTCCTGTCAATAAAGGAAGTACCATGGATAGCAGGTAAGAAAAATATCTACATATTGATTGTTTTGAGATAGGGTCTGGTCTTACTGTGTAGGCCTGGCAGCCCTGGAACTCAGAGGTCTTCCTCCCAAGAGCTGGCATTAAAGGTATGTGCCACCAAACCCGGCAGGAATTACACTGAAATAAATTTCAATATACCTGCTAACTACGTGAGATACAAAAATTAAACATAATGAGGAAGAAAGGTATCCTATGCAAATAATAGGGAGTTACAGAAATTCACTCTAAAATAGCAAGGGCTACAGATAGCACGAAACAGCCAGGGTATTTGTCCTGAACCCTTACAGTGAGGCTTAGATGGATTGAGCTGGGCTTCTTATTGGAGGGAAAGGAAATGTGACACAAAGTACAATTCTCTATGCCAGGAACTATTAATTCCATACATATAAACTCATCTAACTCTCCTATAAGTCAACAAGGTAGATTGCTGCCAGAATTCCTCTTTTACAGGACATTGGGTAGGGTGAGAGTTAAGAAACTTGCCAAAGTCACACATTAATGGTGGTAGCGCAGGATGTGGACATAGCTGAATGAAAACTCAGTCATGACAGTATCCTGTCAGACCTTTGCTAGGTTTGAATTCTTGTTTTCATGTTCATTTCACTGTGTGTTAGCAGCCAGACTGGAATTCAGATAAGTAACGTGTGATTGAGACCTTTCACTGGGCACTGCTTTATGTCACTTTACACATGAAGTATTTTTAGTTAATGGCCATCTTGAGTTCTACTCCTCTTTAATACAAGTGTAACTATAGAGTGGTTCACCAGGGAGTGAGTATTATTCCCTGGTCAGAACACTTCCTGCATGAACCCTAGAGTAGAGCCTGCCTTCTGTTCAAGCTCAAGGAGACAACTAAGACAATAGGGAATTGTAGAAACTAGTCCTAATGGCCTGGCAGTGCTGAAGGAGATTGGAAAGCCTGCTTTACCAGAAGGAACGCCTCTGGGAACAAGAATTTCAGCTCAGAGGTCAAATGAAGAGCACTGCATCTTACCAGAGCAAGCACCAAGTGGGGCAGCATGGTGCAGTGGTTAAGACATAGCATGAAGTTCCAGTACTCACAGGTGTGTGACTTAACCACTCTCTACCAGTGAATGTGGAAATTAAAGATACTCATTTTGGAGTGTGGTGAGGGAAGATACTGTGTGTGGATGTCTCTCTGTCACTGCTGTCCAGGCTAGACTCAAATGCTTAGGCTCAAGCTGTCTCAATGCCTGAATTTCCCAAATAGCTAGGTCTATAGGTGGGCATTGTTGCTACCTGCCCTCTAGCTATCTTTAAAATAAGCAAACATGCAAACAACAAAACAAACCTAACCAGAAACCCAATGCCCTATGTTCTGGCTCCCCCAGCCCCTGTTTTCTGTTTTACTTTTTCAGTATTAATATAATGCCTAGAAATATTACTCTTAAGAGGGCATCATAAGAAGAAAGTTACCAGGGACTACTTCTGGGATGAATTTTATTTCATATACTGTTTGAGTTCATTGTTTGCTAAAATATTTTTTAAACACACTGTTTAACATAGAAGTCTTTGTCTTAAGTTATGTTACATACATTCTTTAAAAGTTTCATCTGCTTTGAGGTCAGTAAGTGTTTCACTGTAATTTCAGAGCTACTCAAAGCTACAGGCAGCCATTCTTGGTAACCTATTCATAGATACTTAGCCACTTTAAGTGCATACAAAAAACAACAGTTAGTCATTTTAAGTTATCATCGTGGGCTTAATTGTGCTTGCACAAAGAGTTGCCCATCAGTTTTTGAATGTACACCTTAAGACATTTATGTAGTTGCATCTAATTCAAGTATACTTGGAAACTAACATTTTAGAGGTAGCTGCATACATGAATGCTATTGGGAATTAAACATTAACCTATCTTTGATAAAGGTTACTAATATTTGAAAAGTTTCTGTATCCCATAAGCTTCTCCATCAATGCAAAAATCCAAATCAGACCAAATCAAACTGAATTAGAAAAGCCCACTTTTAATGGCTACAACACTTCCAAATAGCCTTCCAGCCCCCCAGAGGGGAGACAAGAGAGACCAGACAATCTCGAATCTGTTTTCTGGGGAGCAGTTTAAATACCCTGTGGGAGTGGTTCTGAGCACCTCTATGGGTGGGGTCATCATTTGGCAGGCTTTCTGAAATGCAGCAGGGTTTGGAGGGAAATAGGGGAGGGGGCTTGGGTGGAACCTCCACCATAACAATATTATTTTTAGAGATTTTTTTTTACATATTAGTATGTGTGCCTGCATGTATGGATGTGTGTCTAATGAGTACCTGGTATCCATGAAGGTAAGAAGAGGGCATTGGATCCACAGGAACTAGAATTATCAATGATTGTGAGCCACTATATGGGCGCTGGGAACTGAGAACCCAGCTCCTCTCCAAGAGCAAGTGCTCTTAATTGCTGAGTCATCTCTCCAGCCTCATCATTTAATAGCATTTTGATTCTAGTCAACAGGCCTCTAGTTAATTCTTTTTTTGTTTGTTTGTTTGTTTGTTTAAGGGAATTAAAAAAATCTTCAGTGGAAACTGGCTTCAATGCATCCAGTAGTTCCAGGCTCTTCACTCTAAACCACTCATTTACAAACATTCAGGGTTTGACAGACACCAAGCAAGTGAGTCCTTATCCTGGCCAGTCAATGCCAACAGGTCTCTGCTGGCCCTATGCTGACGGAGACTTTCTTAGGGACAGAAATGAGAACTGGAATTTCAAATACAGAAATGGCAGTATAGAAGACAATCTCACAGATGAAAGTGACTTATCAGAAAACGAGAAAATGAATGACTCTTCGCTCAGCTATTTTAAAAAGATGGACCTGAACTTAAAGCCAGAAGCAATAGAACATGTGGAGAGGTCTTTCACAGAGGAAGCAAACGGAGTGTCCATATATGCTGATTTTCTCCCTGCTCCTTTCAACACTCTGGACTTGCACAGATTTGCCTTCTCAAAATGTGAAACATGGAAGGCAGTAGCAGACCCTCCGGAAAGCTCCATTGAACGGCTAATAATTCGTTTGTTGGAACTGGAAAGATTACAACATATGACCATACAAAAAGAGAAGCCAAGGCTACAAAGCACTTTCTCAGTATTTTCAATGGCAGAACGACCTTCTTCCTCTAAAGCCATTGCACTGAAAGCCAGGCCACCAAAGCTTCCTGACACATTGACTCTACAGACCCCTAATGTAGATAAGAGTCGAGACAAGAGAAAAAACATTTCCTGTTCTGGCAAACCAGAACAAAGTAATTCCAAATGGAACTGGAACAGTTCTGGCAAATGTAAGTTGAACTCTAGACCATTGCTAAAATGTTCATCCACTGCAAAACAGAGCGTTGTTGCTCATGATGACTTTAAGAATTCCAAAAACTCTGTTTTAAACCCTTGCCAGGAACTCCCCCCCAAGCCTACTACAACCCAAGCAACTCAACCACTGGCTAAAGTGGTCTCAACAAAATGTTTCCCATCAAGGTCCCCTGTGCCAGTTTCTCCCATACCCCTGTCTTTTCCTGAAAATCCAAAGGAAGAAATTAAGACACCAAGAACCAAAAAGAAGCTTCACCGAAAAAGCATACTACTGAATAGACCTTTCTATGTTCAGAAGCAAAACAGCTTATCACCTTCACTTATAGCCAGGGGCAAGTGCTCACCTACTGACCAAAAATAGCTTCCATACAACTCAGTGTGAGCAAATCTATTCCACAAAACCCAGCAAAAAATATGGTTCATCATTGAGAAACAGGTATTAGAAACAAACACCACCTCACCCTTACACAATATGATATGGGGTAGAACTCATGACGTCACTGCTGTCTCTATATACGGTCAAAGTCTTCCTCACTGACATATTTGACAACCCTTTGGAAGTTGTACTTCAAAGAGATGTCTCACTTAGTAAAGCAAATAATTCAGAAGACTTTTTTGTGATTGTTTTCCAATATGATTCCATCATCAATAAATGGTGCAGTTAACTTATTCTATTGCAGTTATTGCCTTACTCTTATACAGCCAGGTAAGAGTTGCAGTTCCCTGAAGTGATTTTTCTTAGTCCTTCCTGTAAGTGTTAGAGCTCTAAAGGGAAAGGAAATACTACAAAGGGGCCAAGGAATACCACAAAGTCACACCACACAACAAACCTCACATAAGAGATTTATTGGGGAAAAACACAGGAGAGTGGCTACCTCTGCTCAGGAGAGAAGCAGGAAGCAGGCTTTATATAGGGTTTCTTGGGGGTGGAGCTTTCCTGGATGGCCTAGGATTGGTGGGATTTTATTGCCTGATCTTGGGGCAAGCCCAGGGATTGGTGGGATTTTGTAACCCAGTCTTGGGCTTTTTACTCAGTAGAGTGGAGCTTTGCCACCTGCATCGCAAGGGGTTGGGTCCAACCAATATGGCCCTTAGAATGTTCTGTGGGTGGAGCCTGGGGGTTGGAGGTCCTCAGGGGCAGGGCCTGGCCGCTTGAGTGCCTCCAGTGGCTTACATTCCCGCTTTTTTGTTTACTGTTGATAAACAATCAGGGGTCAGAGAAGGGGATGACATTATCATTAGACTATTTCCTGTTGAATGGGGACATTGCAGACCTTAGGGCAAGCTTGGTCTTCACCATCAGGACAATATCAGTGAACTGCAGGCCTCTGGTTCCATAGCTAGGGGCCAGGAATCCTATAATAGCAACTGATTAAAAGTCTGGTTAGAAATCTTTTGGATCTGTTGTTGAGGAAATCTAGAGAAGTTTGTAAGGCAGAGTACAGCTAGTAGGGTTATGAAAAGGTGGAGAAGGGGGATTAAGAAGAGTAGGATCCAGCTCCATATTGGACTGTAAATGATCCACTGGCCAGAGGCCTCAAGTTGTTTCTTACATTTTTGGAGATCTCTCTGGAGTTGTCGGATCTTATCTTTTACTAAACCTGACTGGTTGACATAGAAGCAACATTCTTCCCTGAAGAAGAGACAAAGACCACCTCTCTATGCTATTAATATATCTAATCCTTGCCAATTTTGTAGTGCCGTGTCAGCTGGTAAGTCTACTTGGCCCTGGAGAATAAGGATGGTCTGAGCCACCAAATGGAGATCCTGGATAAACTTAGATGAAAACTGGTGGTGAACAGTGAGGGAAGTAGTCAGTCCCGCTGTTCCAGTGGTGACACCAGTGGCAATATCCAGGACTGCTAGAGAGTAGAACCTGAGTCACTAATCTGTCATGCTGTGCCACTAAAACCCTGTGATGGGAATTGGCAAGAGTTCTTCACTGGATACCATCCCTACTTTGGAAAAAGGAACACCAGGGCACAAGTCCCAGACCAGCAGTAAATGAGTGCGGCAGAGAATTGAGGCATTGGGAATGTTTGGGCATAGGGGCTGTGTGGTAGACTAAGGGTTAAGGATTATTGCAGTCTGCTGAATCCAGTGTGCCCACAAAGCGTGTTCCTGAGGAGTTAAAGCTGTCTGTGATATCAGAGAAAAATGTCAGAGAGACAAAGAGTGATAGTGGTACTTGGCTCAGAGCAGTTGAGTGCGGCCATCAATGATGGTTGTGAGTTTGATCCAGGAGGGACACACAAGCAGCATTCTCCAAAGTGGCCAGGCAATGTTATTCAGTAGCTGCTATGCTATGTGGAGGTTAAGGTCTGAAATGAGATAGAGTGAACACAAGGACAGAGAGGTTGGATCAGTGTCACCCAAGAGAGGAGACTTTAGGGAGGTAAGAACCTTTGATGAACATTGGATCACATTTTCTTTTTATATACATAGATGCTGGGAGAGTGGGGTGTTCACTCTTTATATTTTGTCTGTGCCCACTGGGTGCCTGATGACCAGGTTATGATACAGTTTGTCAGTGTCCCAGGTGTCTTGAATGTGGAGTTGGAAGGATCCATCCTGTGTAAAAATTGGAGGGGGTAGTTAGGATGGTCCAGATTTGTTCTTTGGTATTTGCAGGACCAATATGGGCAACCTCTCTAAATTTCTGCCCATTTTACAATCATCTTCCATTTGGTCATAGAGAAACAGATATGGGGATAAACCCTGGTGAAGGAGAAATGGATACGAGAGTTATAGAGAACTGACAGCCTGATATAGAGTAATTTCCTGGTTAGAGGTAAGGGGTCTCCTGGATGCTAAGCATCCATATGTAAGAGCTACCCCAGAAAGGTGTAGATAGGAAGAAATAGAAGAGAGAGCAGGTTTATATATAAAATATTTTTGAATCATTTGTACAGTGGCAGAAGTTGTTACGATTTGGGAGAATGTGAAAATCAGGTGTATCATCTTTGGCCATTGTGTTGGACTGATGGGCCATTTGTAGTAAAAGTGAGGCTTAAATAAAGCCTGAGTCTGTGACGTTAGAGAGAAAGGGTCACAGAATGAACTCCACCAAAGTAAGTTTCATAAGCTCCGAATGGGAGCTGAAAGGCAAGAAAGAAGCCCAGGAGAGCTTAGAGAAGCTATGAGACTTCCAGGAGGGAGCTGGGGGACAGGAGGGACAAGGTCACAGGGGCCCAGAAGTGTTTAAGGAAGCTGTGGGACTTAGCAGGCAGATCCTAGTAGGGAGGAGGCAAGGAAATAGGCAAGATTCCAGGAGAGAGAGAGGAGTAAGTCTTAGTAACTAGAAGAGTTGCCCACATGGTGGGGGCCCTGGAGGGTGTAGCAGGCTCCAGAAACCAGAAAGAGGACACTTAGTGCCTGAAGAGTGGACTCTAGAATTTGGAATCAAATATGATGGGTGGGAGAAGCCAGCAGAAACATGATCCCTACCCACCTTATAAGAGTCCGACCTGCAGCTTAGTTTGGAGCAGCCAAGTTCCTTTGCTAGCTGGGAGGCACAGGTCAGAGCTATTAATCTGGTCTGTTGAATAGTGGTTCGGGCTGGGAGAGCCCACTGAAGCTTACAAAAAAGGCTGAGTAATAGGTGCAAGGAGGGGTTTGTGTGAGCAGCCACATCATAGGAGGGGTAGGTAAGAAGACAGAAAGAAGGAAACCAAGAGCGTAAGAAACCAACTATCCCTAGCAAGGATAAAGTTTTGTCCTTGGTGATGGGAACTGAGAGCAACTGAATTGTTTCCTATCTCTGGTAAGGGCTTTGTGAATTGGAATAACAACTAGCTCCAGATGGGCAACCTGGGGGTGGACAGCTGGACCTCAGAGGGTGAGACCCTATATATCCCTGGTCAGACAGGAAGTTTAGTAGAGGTGTCAGCCTGGCTAATCTGTAGGGATGGACTACAGAGGAGATCATCTATATATTGCATAAGCTTGGATTTAAGGAGAGACAAAAAAGAGTAAGTCAGAAGCCAAAGCCTAGCCAAATAGATGCGAGCTGTCCCAGAACCGCTGGGGTAGGACAGTTCAGGTGAGTTGGGCAGAAAGATGGGTGTCCAGGTCAGTCTAAGCAAAGGCAATAGTATTTTGTCATGGAGAATCCGGAGGAATGGACAGCATCCTTGGGGTCTAAGACAGAGGTCCCTGAGGGGATGGTAGAAAGGAAAATATAGAGGTTAGGTACTACAGGATGGAGAACCACTGCAGAGTTTATAAGAGCCTGAACCAAGTGTTAGGTTCTGTTGGGGATTTTAGCTGCAAGTATGGGGGTGTTAAAGGGAGAAGACGGGAGCATAAAAGTCCTTTTATTAAGAGGTCAGAAGTAAGAAGCTTAAGTCCCCTGAGAGTTTGTAAAGAGTAGATATTGAGTCTGGGTGGTTTTACAATTGGATGGCAAAAGGGGTTTTTGGGTGTCCCATACTGAGGGTCCTGGGAGATGGTAAGGGAAAAGGTATGTCAGATTGTGTGGTCTGGAGAAGGAAGAGGGGAACTGATGAGCCTGGGGTCAAGCAGACAGGGGAAACAAAAGAAATAGAGGCTTCTACTTCAGCTAGTAGGTCCCTTCTCAGCAAGGGGACAGGGCAGGCTGATACCACTAGGAAAGAGTGGTAATACCCCTAAAGATACAGCTAAGTGGTAGAGTCTAGTGAAGCTGGTAAGGTGTTCTCCCTACCCCAACAATAGGGAAATGAGGAGAGATGTGTCCCTCAAACTCCATAAGGATTTAAAAAGTCCTGGTGTCCAGAAGGAAGGAGACGGATCACCCTGATACTGTGAAAACTATCTGAGGCTCCCTGTCAGAAATGCCAGTGGTCAGGCCAAGAGAGCCAGGACCCCCTCAGTCATCCATGGCCAGACTTAGGTCAGGGGGAGGGCAATCTGGGCTTGATGTCCCCATGCCACAAGGGACATAGAGGCAGTTAACAGCCCAATATCCCTCTTGATGGTATGCTAGAAATGGTCTGGGTGGTTTATGAGGGCTCGGGCAGACCCAGGCCCATTGAGCCTCCTAACTACATTTGAAGCAGGGATCCTGAGGTCCTCAGGCTTTGGGAAGCAAAGGAGCCTGGGAAGTTGCTATGGCCAGCTAAAAAGCCAAAGCCACAAGAAGGGCTTTCTCATTTCATAGTACACCTTAAAGGACACTGTTAAGATTTCTGCCTGTGGAATTAGGGGTCCCCTCTCTAGATGTTTAAGGTTGGCCCTAAAAGCAAGGAAATAATGAAAGAAGTAGCAGTTTAAGGGCATGCTTAGAGACAGGCCAGGAGGCCGCTGTCTGGACTCTGCATGGGCTCTAGCCTGCTCCCAGGTTCACCTGCATTCCTTGGGTAGATTTTTGGTGAGAACCAT